GAGAGAGAGAGAGAGGAGGAGGAGGAGGAGGGGGATAACATACGAATCGCAGCGAATCATTCGAAAGACGACAAATCCCCGAGCGCTATCGAGCGCGATCCGCCGAGGTAGCCCCGCGGACGAGAGGATGAAACGTGTCAGGAGCCAGGAGATCGGCTGAATCGCGGCGTCAGAAGCGGCTGCGGAGCGAAAACCGGCGAACGTCGTCATTAACCGAACTCGGAAGCATCGGTCGATGCGAGAGGACGGGCAGCGCGCGCGGCCCCGGGCCTTTCGGTCCCCTCGAGAATTAAACCCTCGTCGACGCGAACGTGCGGTGAATCGCCAAGTCCAATGTAAATCACGGGTTTCGAGTGGAAATCAGAAACCGACTGCGGATCGGTATAATTACCGACGGCAGAGCCACGGTCCCGTAGTGCTTTCATTTAATGCGCACGGTATATCTATCACGCGCCACGTAATAATTTATAATTACAAGAATAGGTAGCACACACACTTGGCTACCGGACGGGAGTCTGGATTTCGTCTCGCGAGGGACGCGCCCCCCGACTTTGCATCTCGCCCTCTTTTTCCACGTCTCTCGCCTCTGCGCTCCTTTTCTCATCCTGTCCTGCTTTTTCTTTTTCTGCTCCTTCCTCCTCTCCCTCTTCGTTTTCTTTCCCTTCCGCACGGCGAGTCGTTTGTGCGAACACGCGGACGCGTCGCATTAATCGTCTCTATGAATTTTCGCGTGATCGCGTCCAATTCGAGGGAATCGCGGGAGAATATGCAAAATACCTCGGTGTCTTACCTTAGGAGTAACGGTGTGTCGACGTAGTAACGAACTCGGAAGTAGAGGACGAAAGCTGGCCTCCCGCTGCTGTCTAAACCCTGCAAAATAATCGCACGTGTACATGGAACGTCGCAACAATCGCTGCGAGTTGAGAATAGATACGAGTTACTGCGGAGAGAAAAATATAATTCTACTGCTGAGAAAAGCGTTCACTTTTTTTCTGCTAAATAATGGTTATTTTCACCAAAGAATATTTTCTTCATAACTTTGTAACATGAAGGTTATTTCATCGACAATCAGAGAATATTCGCTGGAATATTCAGTAGAAGCACTTCTGTCTTATATCTCACTGATTTTGATCAATGAAGGAAAAATTTCACTGCAAAATCTCTGTAATACACAAATTCATTATACTCTTTACCAAATCCAATCCTTCACGGAAAAAAAGGATTTGTTATATATTGACAACTAAACATAATTTGCTGTATTAGCCACTTTTTGGTTGCTGCAGGGGCCAATTTCCTCGCTAGGATAAAGAAAATCTGCTCCTACAACAAAACAAGTAGCTAAAGCGGTAAATTATGTTTAGTTGTCCATCTGTAGCAAATTTGCTGCGTTAGCTACTTTTCTTACTGTAGAAGCAAATTTTTTTGTTATCATAGCAAGGAAATAGGTTCCTGCAGCAAAGAAAAAATAGCTAACACAACGAATTATGTTTAACTATCCATATGTAACACATTAGTTTGCTGCTGCAACAAATCCTTTTTTCTGTGTTTCTGTATTTTGAGTGTGATCACACTGTCTGTGTTTGCAAATTGCAATAGTGACTACAATTGACTGATCTTTTCGGCAAGATTTTACTGATGGCAGTGCTATACTGAACCATCAATTATAAATATAGCATTTCAATGAAGAATACACCGTTTAGAGAATACAATTCCAACAATGGTAGTCTAACAATGGAAATTGTGCGTTATAAGTGTATTGCGACAATTGCTACGCAAATATAATATACTTGTTTATTGTACACATCGCTATGACAATCGATTGCGTTGACAGATGAACGATTGGCACTCGAAACAAGTGACGCGTTCTCTTCTATACACAAAAAATATCATTCTAGTGTAACTGAATTTTTCATTGTCTCTGGTGATAATAGACTAGATAAAAAACGCGACTGTACACACAGTTGCCAAGAAAAGATTACTTAGTTTACTTTCCTTCCTAAGTAAGTAATGGTTATCTTCAACAACGAATATTTTTTTTCATAACAGACTTAGAACATACTCATCCCAAATGTGAGAAAAGCTCATTATCAGGTACTCAAAAAAATAATTTTTTCTTTTTATAAGAATATCATGAAATTTTATTGGTTAAAAAAACCAATGAAATGGTTGATTCAACTTCATAGCAAGCAAATCGAATTTTTGTTTTAATTTAATATTCTTGATTGAAATATCAAACGAGGTCTCAGAATGCATTTCGAATGAATTTTGATGCTTATGATAAATTTATGACAGATTTGCGGATATATAAACTTATAAAATGCTCGGAACAAGTAACATTTACCTAAATGCACTATATATTTTTCTGTGTGTAGAAAATACGACTATCGCAAATAGTGCGTAATGCACGTCATCTAAACTGACATAACGATTCACTGTAGAATAAAATTTAACGACACGAAACACGTTTCGTAACGATTGTAAGAAGCTTTGGGCGATTGTGTGAATTTCACGTGTCAAGTGACCTTTGAAAAGGTACAAGGTGAAAAAATATCCCAACGACGCGTTTCTATGGCAGTCTATCCACAATCAAATTTTTAATCGCGAAGGCTTATCGCTTCAGGACAGGATGGAGACAATCGTAGGGCTTTCATTAATACAAATCAGAAGCTGCACAAAAACTCACACATGCACGCCAGACTGGCCGTTCACCAACGGCCCTTACAATGTGTTCGATACATCATCTAAGGGAGGGACGGAGAAATGCGAGGCGAACCCCGAGGTAGAAAGGGGGAGGAGGGAGGGAAACGCTGAAGAAGGACAGGTACTAATAACGAAGGCCATTCTAAATTCGGTAGCCGAAAATTAAACCGGTAAGGCCTTTTCGCCGTCGCGTCTAGACCTAGACCCTCCGGTCAAATTCTAGCAAATTACACCGTTGGCCCCATCCGCATATTTTACGAACCATAAATATTAATCCACCGTGGCCCTCTCTCTCTCCCTTTGCCCCGAATCGCCATCTTTTTCCTGCTGCTTTTATTACCTCGCATCGGTTTTCTTTCTCTCCGATGGATACAATCATCGCTAAAATTAAGAGACCATGCGAGCCATTTGTTACCTGGCCCTCGTTTGTGTACAAGCATGTACACGAGAAAACGGATCTATACGATATACAGGGTGCTTAAAAAAGGGTTCAAGACTTATAGGATGGATAGTATTCGCTATAATGTATAAAATACGTTGTGATCATAGCGTTTGAAATATAATAAAACACGTAAATAATACACATTTTTTTATATCAAATACCGATCTGACAGTTCCAGAAAATGAAGCGAATCAAAAGAACTATCATATGAGTAAAATAGTACTTATATTAAAGGTTCATATCCTTCACTGTAGTTTTCTCTTAGACTGTTGCAATCATAATTTAAAAATATCTATATATACATCAGTCTTTTAAAAAGCTAATATTGTTTCTCACATATTTTGATACATTTCATATACGCATTATAATCCAAATTACTGATAAATTCCAGAAAAAGAACAGAAATGTTTAGTTGTGTCATGTACATTGAGTTCCGCTGTGTTAATGCTGGTATATATTGTAAGTTCGAAGTATTATTTACATGAGAAAAAATTGACTTTCTGCCCAAGCAATTTAGAAGTGAAAAACTATAGCCAGAATGTTGTAGATATATAGATATTTTTAAATTATGATTGCAACAGTCTAACACTACTGTGAAGGATATAAGCCTTTAATATATTTTAATCACATGGTAATCATATAGGTATTTTAATCACATGACAGTTCTTATGATTCGCTCCATTTTCTGGAACTGTCAGATCGGTATTTGATAAAAAAATGTATATTATTTACATGTTTTATTATATGCAAGTGTCGGACACGGCGGCTAGCGAGTCCAACTGAATTCACCAGAAATTAGTGAACAAAATATCTTTTAGACAGAAATGTAATTATCATTAAAAACGTTTTACTAATTGTATCGTATTACTCATCCTATAAATCTTGAACCCTTTTTACACTCTATGTAAATATCCTTGTGGAAATATGCGAGCAGAATTGAAAGTAAAATCGATCAAGGACTTTCGACAAATTACTAAAGATAAGATAAGAATCGTATGGCGGAATATAATTGGTATAAAATTGCGAGTTCACGTTCGCTTGTTCATCGACTGTCTACTTCGCAGAGCAGAAAAGCGGGAAAAATACGAAAACTATTCACGAATTAAACACTCTACGATCACAAATCAATAATGCCGTTTGCGGCAAATCAATAGTAATACAGAGAGAGAGAGAGAGAGAGAGAGAGAGAGAGAGAGAGAGAGAGAGAGAGAGAGAGAGAGAG